ATGAAAATTAAACCTTATTTTCAATAAGCAATCCTGAAAAATATTTGGGGGTGCTTAACTTTTTTCCAGGTGTATATATTTTCGATATTGAACCAATTTCCATAACACCTAAGGGTCCTTGTGTCTCCAGGTCTAGGATGAAGTTTTAGGGGACCATTACCTTTAGAGTCTGTACTTTTTTCTGATATTTCATTCTCACATTATTCTGTTAGGGATTTGGGCTGTTCCACATGAATGTAAATAGTTCCTGTCTTTATTATACCACCACTGTGTTTTAGTACTCACAGATATTTTGATTGTGATGACATATAATCTAACAGGATGGGACTTGATCTCACAACCTTTGCTGCAGTTTCCCTACTTTTTTTTGGCTACACCATTTGCCCAGTTCTTAATGCCTCATGCTAGCCTGCTCCATCATAGTTTCCACTGCTCTTACCTATCTTAGAGGGATTTTATTCTGTTATTTTTTTTTTTGGTACATCTTTCACAATGATGTTTCTCATCTATAGCTGTTATGTGGTCCTTTAGTAGTGAAACTGGCTTTTCTTGTAGCTCAAATGTTATCACATTTATGCAGATTTCCCTCCTTGGCAATATACCAATCTCATTGATCTGCCTTTTGGAGTTTGGGCCTGTGCAATTTCGTTTCATGTCTTTCTTCAACTCGTAACACCTTGACTAATTTTTTTTTGTACTTCATTCATGATCAGGGCTACAGAACTGCATTCTTGTCATTTTCAGTTGCCACAGAAGTTGTGTCTATGTTGGGCTCTCATTTTTTTCAGCATCTTTTTTGAGTTTTTTTTATTATAGTTTCTACAAATATCTAGACAATGTCCTCAGTGGGACTTAATGTTGTCTTAAGCTTCTTCTTTTAAACCCTTTGCAAGATTTTCATTCTACCATATTTCCCTGAAGACATAATTTATTTTGTTGCTCACTTAGGGAAGATTTTATTGTGTTACTTACTTCAGAGAAGAAATATTCAGACATTTGTGCCATTGAAGTTTTTCATACTGTGTCCCTTTTTTCAAGGAAGTTCCTGTTAGAGCCTTCATACCACAGACTTGAAATGGGAGAGATGGTCATTGCTGTTTTTTCTCCTGTTGTGTTTACCTACTCTAACTGATCCTGTTTCTCCTTCTTACAAACATTTTCTATGTCTAGTCTGTAAGAACAGAATATTTTCAAGGGAATTGGCATCAGCTGTTTATACCTTATGTTTGTTCTCTTTCTACAGATGTTGTTCCATACACATTCACAAGTTTGATTGTGCAGTTGTTCTGTCTTGTTCGTCATGATATTACTGAAGTTACATCTCATCACATTTGTCTTTTGGTGGTGTCTTTGGCCTCTTGGTCTTTGTACGATTGATAGGAAATCTTTCAGGCTGGCATGGAGAAGAATCTACATATTTTGTTTATTATTTTATCTTTACCACATAAGTTTAATGTCAGTTTTCAGTTTTGATATTTCATTTGCCACCTATTGATTTTCATTAGGCTTATTGGAATCCATTTCTTGTGAGGTTTGTATATACTACCTAATTGGTGTGTCCAGTCCTGCAATTCAAGTATTTCTATATCCCCCAACACCCATGTTCAGACATTCCCATTCCACTGCCTCGTATTGTTTAGCCCATATTTAGTGATTTCTTTGTATCTCCCTGATCACCCATTCACTGATTATGTGATTCACTGGCCATTTTAAAAATGGATGAAAAGTGAGCTATCTCCTCTGGAATATATCCTTTTGTAATACATATTTGGGCTGCTCCCCTGAGAACCCTGCATTACAGAAGTAGGACATAGTATTCATCTTATCTATTTATACCACTGCCTATATTGTTGGATCCACAGGTTTAGTATGCCATTACTACTCACGAAATTGACCTCTTTGCCTGATTTAAAAGGTACGATAGGCAAATAGATATCTTGCTTAGAATTTTTTCTTTCGGAATATCTTTTAAGTCCAAACTTTTTATGAATTGATGGTGGGTGGTGATGACTAGCTGCCTTCCCTCTAGTCTTATGCTGCTAAATTAGGGACGGCTAGTGCAGATAGCCCTCGTGTAGCTTTGCATGAAATCGATAACAAACAAACAATCATTGAG